CTAAACAACCCGCAGAGTTCACTCGATAACGCCACACCTAATACTACACACAGGTCTGAGTGTGTGACGCTTTACGACGCGGACGTCGCGAGTTTGAGTCACTATAGTTAGCGAAACAACACCCACAACAGGCTTCTAGCCGCTCAACATAAAGAGCGAACGCGTGAACTCACCGCTCGAGATCCACCGGAAGAGCCACGGGAAGACTCGCGCGATCGGCCTCATCACACACATGATCAGATCGATCAGGGAGCGCTTCAGGTGATTTCCAGCGGATTTGTCGCGTTCAGTGTCTCTCATGCTGGCGTCAGATCGCTTTCGTTTCTCCTCCGCGCCCTACGTTCGCTTTTATCCCGAAGGCCGATGATGAGTCAGTCAGCAAATAACAGCACACGCCTCTTACAAAACAATCACCATGGCAACTAAACTGTCATCGCGCAGTCGTTTCTTAACCCTTACAGTGCCGGTGAATAACTTTTGAAATCTCAATGTCGTTAACATTTAAAAAAAAAACTACAATTACGAGATTAAAGGTTAATATTTTGAGAATAAAATCGAAATTATGAGAATAAAGTCAAAATGTTTTGAGAATAGTGTCAAAATTACGAGAATTAAATCATAGCACAGTCATTATCCATAAAATGGATACTTTTTTTTTTAAAGGGGTCATATGATGCGATTTCAAGTTTTCCTTTCTCTTTGGAGTGTTACAAGCTGTTCGTGAATAGATAAGATCCCTGAAATTGCAAAGACTGAAGTCACAAAACCAAAGAGATATTCTTTATCAAAGTTTAGACTCTGCCACGCCCTCGTTCTAACACGCCCCCACATATCTACGTCACTATGTGGAAATATTTACATAATGCCGCCCAAATGTTCACGCAAAGAAAGAAGGCGTGGTTTCAGTAACCGCAGTTAGTGTTGAAGCAGCATGTCAGGGAGACGCTGTGTGTTTCTAGGCGAAAGCAAAAGCACTTTATTTGGCCTTCCGAAAGTAGATGCATTTAGGAATCTTTAAGATCACTTACAACAGAACAGCAATGCATTTTATGGATGACCGTTTCGTGAACCTAGGAGAGGAGGTAATTCTGACTTTGCTATGACAATCTGGCGCTTCTGAATCAGCTACTGTTTTGTTACTAGTTTAAGTATTTGCTATTGACTGCTCAAATGCGGAGTTTTGCGCAGCGCAGAGTAACGCGTCGTGTGTGTGTGTGTGAGGGGAACAGGGTCACATCACAGGATGTCAACACCATCTTCCAATTTCTGAGGAAATTATTTGAAATATTTAGATAATTTTATTCTCCTGAAGCAGGTTCCATTAGCATCTAGCATCAACAGAAACAAATAAAATGGCTACTACATGAACTCCATTGGTTTTGTGAAAGAAATGCCAAATTTGTCAACACCGTCAGATGTCACCACCATAAGATTTTGTGTTCCAGTGATATATCAAAATACTTAAATGTGACTCTTGAATAAAAGCTTTATAAACAATAACACACTCACTGTTTGTTTTAATACAGTAATTGACTGATTCAATGTATTTGATAGTTAAAATGACTACAAATTCAGGTTTTCGTCACCACCGTCAGTTCTGTCACCTCCGTCAGTTGAATATTTATATATGATAATATTTCATTATGATATTTTATATTTGTTGTGGAATTGTCGGTCACATGTGAAAGTGTAATCTGTCTGCTAACACGAGAATGTGTTTTGAAATGTTAAAAACATCTTGAATGCTGTTAAAGCTGAAATTATATTACACAGTCCAAGGTAAAAAAGCACATTTTGTTAAAAAAGAGAAAAGTTGGGAGGTTGTATCAAAGCATAGCTCAGTAGCTTAAACCATATAAGATACATAAATGTAGTTTCATTTGTCTGAGTACAAGGTTTTATTTTTTCAATTTTGCACCCTGTTTTGTCCCACTTCTCAAGAATGACCGAGCAATTAAAGTTCAACTTTATTCTCGAAACATTTCGCCTTTATTCTCGTAATTTCGACTTTATTCTCATATTTTGACTTATTTATTGTAATTTCAACTTCATTCTCAAAATATTTTGACTATTCTCAAAACATTACGACTTTATTCTCATAATTTCGACTTTATTCTCAGAATGTTTTGACTTTATTCTCAAAACATTACGACTTTATTCTCATAATTTCGACTTTATTCTCAAAATGTTTTGACTTTATTCTCAAAACATTACGACTTTATTCTCATAATTTCGACTTTATTCTCAAAATGTTTTGACTTTATTCTCGAAATATTTTGACTTTATTCTCGAAATATTTTGACTTTATTCTCAAGATATTTTGATTTTATTCTCAAGATATTTTGATTTTATTCTCAAAATATTTTGACTTTATTCTCAAAACATTACGACTTTATTCTCATAATTTCGACTTTATTCTCAAAATGTTTTGACTTTATTCTCGAAATATTTTGACTTTATTCTCAAGATATTTTGACTTTATTCTCAAAATATTTTGACTTTATTCTCAAAATATTTTGACTTTATTCTCAAAACATTACGACTTTATTCTCAAAACATGACTTTATTCTCATAATTTCGACTTTATTCTCAAAATGTTTTGACTTTATTCTCGAAATATTGACTTTATTCTCAAAACATTACTTTATTCTCAATATTTTGACTTTATTCTCAAGATATTTTGATTTTATTTTCAAAATATTTTGACTTAATTCTTGTAATTTCAACTTTATTCTCAAAACATTACAGCTTAATTCTCATAATTTCGACTTTGTTCTCAAAATATTTTAACTTTACTCTCAAAATATTTTGACTTCATTCTCAAAACATTACAACTTTATTCTAATAATTTCGACTTTATTCTTGTAATTTTAGATGTTTTTATTTTTAACGTGGCACTAAAATGCCGTCATAGATATTCGTGCCTAAAAACTTTTTTGTACATTTTTTAATCTGTTTTTTGAGTAATCATGATTTCTGAATTTAAAAGATTTAATTAAATTCCATTCATTCCAATACTGTAATTCTCAGTTTATATAGAAAGCATAGGTTTCCGCCCTCTAGGGTTGGGCGATACCTCTTATTTTATTTTCGATCCGATACCGATATTTTCAAGCCGATACCGATACCTCTAAACTAAACTGATCTTTTAAATAATTAAAAGAATATAATCAGTAATTATACTCACTTAATATTCGATTTTAAAGCCATGTTTTTTAACATTTCATAGGCCTTTTTTTTGTTTACACTGTCAGAAATAAAATATGCTATAATTGTATTTAGCCCTTTACTGGGGCAGTAACCTCAAAGGTGCAACTATACCCCTAAAAGTGAGCATATTAGTACCATACAAGTATGCATGCTTTAAGGGTAGATAAGTTACAAAAGTGCACCTTTGAGGGTACCTCATGAAAAATAAACACAGTGTTACATAAGTGCTAAAATGTATTATTATTATTATTATTACCATGGTAAACTGTGGTTACTGCAAATACTGTGGTAAACTGTGGTTACTGCAATAAAACCATGGTTAATTTTTTGTAAAAGGCTGCCAGGCTGTAGGCAGTGAAACTTTAGCATATTTTTTTCTGACAGATTTATTAACAGCAATTACAGAACATACAAAAGTTTGGGGTCAGTAATCTTTTGTAATATTTTCTTTAAGTCTCATGCTCACCAAGGCTGCAACTTATTTGAAAAAAAAAACTAAACAAAAAAAAAAACAGTAAAAGCAGCACTATTGTGAAATATAACAATTAAAAATAACTATTTTCTATTTTAATATATTTTAAAATGTAATTTAAATACAGTATGTGGAAAATAATGTTTTTTGAACCTTAAACCGCATAAACACATTGCATTACACCAAATACACCAAATAATGTTCTTGTTAGCAGCATCTAATGACCCCTTTAAGGATCGATCCGCCCATCCCTACCGCCCTCCCTTTCTCTCTCTTGACAGACTACGGAAAACATTAGCAGGTTTATTTTCTTCTTCTTTTTTAATAAGACAATGATTATGTAATTTTTTTTTTTACATCCTTACATTTACACATAAAAGAAATATTACACAAATTGCACCGTTTACAACTGCGCTCACAAGAGCACAAACACAAACTCCGAAAGCACAAATCTGTTTGTAGAGACTGTCAGTCCATCAAAACACACAGAGCAGGATCATTCAACGTAAAATAATCGTCATATGCAAGATATTACATCCCTTGTTTTTAAAAACACAACAGTCTTATGCCGAAAAACATCCTCTACACAAGCGTGTGCGTACACGCTTTAATCGACGCAGGATCACGTGTCTTTGCGTTCTGAAGAGCGTGCTTAAAGCTCATTAGCATAACGGTCAGTTTGTTTTGTTTTTTCTCTTTCAGGGCAACTCACATGGAGCGACAGTTTGAAGAGAATGAAGGTAATGTTAACATGTTTATTGCTAGCTACCTAAATCCGGTTTAACAAGTTAAACAACTGACAGCAACTCATCCGATTATTGAAGCCCATTTCCACCATGTAAGAAGTCTTAATTATTACATAGTTAGACATAATTATGACTTTAAAAGTCAAAATGATCATAAACCACGTCGAAATTATGACATAAAAAGGCATAGTTATGAGATAAGTTGAAATTATTACATTAAAAGTCCAAATTTACATACTAAGTCAATTATGAGATTTAAAAAAATTGATATAAATCCTTTTTTGCCTTTATATCTCAATTTTGACTTGTTATAATTCCAATTTAGTATGTCATTGTCAGCTTTTAAAGTCAGTTTCGACTTATTATCAATTTCAACTTTTAAAGCCACAAGTTCAACTTTTATCTCATAATTATGACTTAGTACAGTATGTCATAACTTCATTTTCAAAGTCATAATTTTGAACTTTTGTCGATTTCAACTTTTAAAATCATGATTATGACTTGGTACGTCATAATTGCGACTCAATTTTGGTTTTTATAATTATGACTTAGTACAGTATGTCACAATTTCAACTTTTTTTTGTCAATTTCAACGTTTAAAGTCATAATTACAACTTAGTATGTCATAATTATGACAAGTAAATTTCAGCTTTTCAATCTGACTCACTAAAGCATGTTATTAAAATTGTTTTTTTTGGCCTCCATAACCCAATGAGTTATGAAGCCACAGTAAAACGGTGCAGTGACATTTACTCTTGCATCCAAATCCAATCCAGTCATCCCAATAGCAATCCAGTAGGAATGGATAACACACCTTTTTCACACAAAACTCTGTTGAAATTTGTGACCACACCTTAATACATGTTAAATATGTTAGGGACTGCATTCGGGGTTTGCGCTTTTGCACAGAGTATGTTTCCGGCTTCAGACGTGTTCTGAAATACAGTAGCTGTAAAAGAGAAACTTTGACAATAGTGTGGCATGCTACAGTGATTACATTCACTTATGCAGGACGCAACAAACAACCGTTTCCTTCTTACCGCCTGTTTTTGAGCATTAGTGGACTTAAAGTTCAGGACAGTACCCAAGCATACTTATCAGAACATAAAACATAGCTTAATGTCTCTTGTGATATTGCACCATGGTGATGGTTTCTTGCAATAGGCTATGACTGATATAGACATAGATATAGATCTGTAACAGCACATCGAAAAGAGTAAACAGCTTCTGGAGACACATTCCCTGCACATAAACAGCAATGTTGACTGCGTAAACGTACTATATAGTTAAGCTTTGAGCTTTTTGCCGTTACGTGTCCTTGATTTTCTATGAATTTTACTGCCGTAAATTTGCATGTTAATATACTAATGACAGTTTAAAGGGTAAAAATCCACAGCAGAGGATGTTTGTGATAAATTAGCCCTAAATTAAATTAAGTTTTTAAACAGAAAGGATGTTATGGCCAACTAAGCATGTGACTGCAGATGGCACAATGGAACACCAAACATATTCATATACTTGAAATTCACAATAAAATATCAGCATGTGTAACACACAATATACTTTAAAAAAGCAATTTACCAAAAAAACTAAATATATTTTCAAGTCCTGATTCGGTTGCACATAACACTGATGAGAAAAAAAAGGATGGCGAGTAAAACTACATCAAATAATCATGAGACAAACAAACACATCTAACTTTTCATCCCTTATCATCCTTTTGCTTTTTCATCTGAATGGAAAACGTGTTCCTGGAACCAAAAAACGTGGGTTAAAGCTCATGCCCGGGTCAGATTTCACTCCACAATCAAACCGATTTTGCATAAAGAAAACCAAGATTGTTTGCATTATGCAAAAATGGGATGAAAATACCTAAATCATGTGCGTTTTTGTCAGACCCATAAGAAACAACATACAGACACCAGATTCATACGCTCTCGTTTTCAATCTGCGACACAAAAAGACGTTATTTTCACATGGTTCAACCAGCAGCACAGGTATTTCAGCTATTTACACGATTCGTTCGACCCTTATCCATAATATAATATTATTTTACATATTTAGCACTTTATCAAAGGTTTTAATCATAGAGTGAAAACAATATGGTAGCAATACGGCATGCAGTCAGTTGAAGTCTCTTGACTTCTCATTGGCTCAGTTCTGTAAACATGAAAATGGACATTGCGCGTTGATTAAAAATCGCTCTTTCCCTGTTCAGCTATTCTTGTTGTGAAAACAGACCGGTCCAGCAGGTCCGTTACAGTCAGTAGGTCGTTCACGAGCATCGTTTTTAGCACCTTCCTTACATTTTGTTCACTGGAAGGGAGAGCAATTGAAGGCTGATTTCCAAGCGTTTTCTCTTTCACTTCAAATGTTATTCGGACGTCCATTGGTGTTTCTGCTTTACCGGCTCCGGCTAATGTTGGACGCCATCGTCGTCACACCATAAATTCATTACTCCCATACAGCACCAAAGGCTGAGAAGAACTGAAGTCATGCTCTCTTCTCCGGCTGCCGCCGCTGCCGCCTTCTCCCGGCTCGCGGGGCTTTGGCGGGCAGCTTCGGTTCCCTCTGGGCCGGGGATGGGTTTTCTCGGAGCTGGAGGCACATCGGGTGGTCAGGGAAGCCTGTGCGGAGCCCTCCTGGTCGGGGAGAATGTGCAAGTCCCCGGGAGAGGCGGCCGAAAATAGCGGCCCGGAAGAGGACGAGCGAAAGCGATAGTGAGGCGTGGACGACACGGAGTCCACCGAGTCCAGAGATTCAGGCTGACGGCGTAAACCGCGTCTGCTTTTGGACTCGGACTTCCTCCAGCGTGTCGCCGATGACGCGCCGGGGCTTTTTTCTGCAAAGGAGACATTTGACACTTCAAATCATGTGCAATGTTGTTCCAAACCCGTGAGACTTTTGGAAACACAAATGTGACCCTGGACCACAAAACCAGTCATAAGAGTCAATTTTTTTAAATGCATTTATGCATGAAAGCTGAATAAATGAGCTTTCCATTGATGTATGGTTTGTTAGGATAGGACAATATTTGGCTGAGATACAACTATTTGAAAATCTGGAATCTGAGGGTGCAAAAAAATCTAAATATTGAGAAAATCATCTTTAAAGTTGTTCAAATGAAGTTCTGAGCAATGCATATTACTAATCAAAAATTAAGTTTTGATATATTTACGGTAGAACATTTACAAAATATCTTCATGGAACATGATCTTTACTTAATATCCTAATGATTTTTGGCATAAAAGAAAAATCTATAATTTTGACCCATACAATGTATTTTTGGCTATTGCTACAAATATACTCCAGCGACTTAAGACTGCTTTCGTGCTCCAGGGTCACAAATAAAGATATTTTTAATGAAACCTGAGAGGCTTCTGTCCCTCCATTGAAAGTCCAGGTAACCAAAACTCAGAGGATCCAAAAAGTTCATAAAGGCATAATTTAAATGAATGCATATGGATCGAGCAGTTTAATGCAAATCTTGTGAAGCGATACAATCACTTTCAGTTAGGGGTGGAACGGTTCAACGTACGGTTCGGTTCGTATCACGGTTTTAGAGTCACGTTTTCAGTACGGTTCGGTATGTGCTATGTTTAGGGGAAAACTATACTGTCAAATTAAAATAAAGAAAATAATAATAATCTACCTAACTACAAGCAACAGCACAAATATATACAATAGAATAAATATACAAATAAATAAACAGTGATTTTCAGTTGTTGTTTTTCTTTAAGGTAGGTCTAACATTAGTTTTCAGGTACAGAAATTTAATTAAGTAATAAAATGTAAAACAGCATTGCATATTCGACTGTATAAATGAAAGATTCATCTTTATTAAAGTTACAAAAGCTATTCAATCAAGAGCAGTGAGTGATTTCTTTGTTGTTTCTGTTTGATTAATATTAAGAAAGTGCTGTCACTTTAAGACACTGTAAGTACGTTCAGCCGGCTATGTCTGCTATATAGGATACTTACCAAGACGGGCATTTTGACATAATTCTTGTGTGAATTTGTCCATTCAAACACAATACTTCAGAGAGAGCTTAATATCTGCGCGCTTCGAATGAGCGCACGCACAAATCTTCTCACTCGCGTCCTCTGGCTCTTAAATGTTTAAACTGGCAAAGCTTACATGAGTTTAGTGTAAACACATATCAACGTGTGCTGTTCAGGTCTCACCTGTGCATGCGCGCTATGGAATAAATGCTCATATTCCAGCATACGGCATTCGCATTGAACAAGAGTGAATGGTTTGTCCACGTTTTTTTTTCCTCGCTGTTGTTGTAATGTACTGGGAAGCCAAAATGCGCATCCATCAACAGAAACAGCCGAACCCTGTTTGTTTTACGTGTTATTTATAGCAAACCATGTTACAGATGCGTTGTCAGATTGAAGTTGAACCGCGGTCCTAGCATGTGTGGAGAACTGTACAGTTAGATTTTTTCCGCAAACCGTTCCACCCCTACTTTCAGTAGACAAACTCCATAAAACAGTTTTTAAAGTTGTGAAAATTACATGATGTAGGACTTTTATACAATGTGTGCCATTGTAAAGACTAGGGTATCGTTTGAATTTTATCGATTCCTAATTCCGATTCCAATAAGATAAAAAAATCCATTAAACAACTTTTAAGTCAAATATTTAGATGTCAAACATATTTAATCTGTTTTATGTCTATGGCTTTATCAAAAAAATACCACAGAAAAAAACAACTAGACTAATATAAATTTCAAACATTAAATTGTTAAAGACAAGTAAACAAATTAATTAGCAATAGCATAAATAAATAAAACTGAACAAATGTCAGGTACAGAAATTGAAATCAAAAGTTTAAAAACACTGTATAGTTTTCTTTTCATAAATAAAATATTGATTAATCCTCATTAAATTTACGAAAGATATTCAGTCAGCTAATGATTTTCTTTTGTTCTTTGATTAACATTAATGATGGGCAGCACGTTTATTAGACACTGTCTCTTTAACACCGAACACACACAGATCTAAAAATACTGTTATACATGCGTTTTCTGTTTACGTTCACTTAAGACAAAAAAACAGCTGTGTGCCTGGAACAACCTTTGTGGAAATGCACGGAACAGTTCGAGAACGGACTCGGGTCGGGAACCTGCATCGGGACCACTGTTCTCTGTGCTCGCGCTTCAGATGTGTGCGCTGCACGCAAACAGTGTGCAAGTTCTTTCCCTTCCTGCACTTAAACAGTTTAAAATCACATTAAAATGCGAACACGGGAATCGTTGAGCGGAATCGAAATGCACGTCTTAGCGAATACCCGATTATTGGAAATTTGGAACCGGTTCTAAAATGGAACCGGTTCTCGATACCCAACCCTAGTAAAGACTGTAAGTTTATACCTCACATCCTCGTTTTCATCCTAAATTCAATATGGTGTCTACATAAATAAGGTCTGTAAAGTGATCGAATGTCTTCACAAGAGTTGTTTTAAATCACTTTATTCATATGGATTCGTTTTAAACATATGGATTAATTTGACTATGTCTTAATTAGGGCTGAACGATTTTGGAAAATAATCTGCGATTTTTTTTTTACCAATATTGCGATTGCGATTTAATATGCAATTAGTTATTAAAGCTCTTTATGTTCTGTATTATTCAACAAAGTCAAGCTATATCATTGTATAGTATGACCAACACACTATTAGATAGATTAAACATAAATGTTCTTTTCTGCAGGCCAGGCCTATATGTTACAATGAAATTAGGTGATGCATGAATTTATATGAATGACATTTTTATTTAATGACTATAATCACAGTAGTATATTGACTGATTTGTTGAACTTCCAACCTTGTAAGCATGTAATAATTATGTTTAAATAAGCCTGGTGTAAACATTAATATGAAAGTCAGTAACAAATCACACAAACTAAAGTAGATTGCAGAAATATAAAAAGAAAATCTGTTGCTTTACCACACTACTTTAGGTAATTCAAAGTCACTGTAATAAACTATGTAAACATGTGCACTGCACTTTTTAAACACTGTCTGTTCACTTTAGACCAGTGGTTCTCAAACTTTTTGGGTTGCGCCCCCCCTTTAAATCTATAAAAAAATCCATAGACCATAGACTGTATAGGGCGCGACACGACAAAACCCGACATTAAACTGATGCCGTGTTCTATTTATGACGTACTGACACAAAGTTAAAATGATTTGCACCGGTCGCTTTGTCGCGTCCAGTAGAGCTGTTGCGGCGCAGCGCAACAATTGTAGCGACTGGTATAGACACGGTGAGTGAAGCCGAGAGCAAGACATGCCTCTTCATTTGGATCTTTTAAGTTTTGGTTACCTGGGCTTTCAATGGAAGAAAAGTGATCAAATCTCTTCACAACAGCTGTTTTAAATCACTTGATTCATATAGATTAATTTTACGATGCCTTTACGACCTTTTTGAATCTTCTAATTTTAGTTACTTGGACTTTAAATGAAGGAAAAGTGACTGAATCTCGTCACGAGACTTGTTTTAAGCCACGTGATTCATATGGATTTATTTTACGGCCCCTTTGTGACCTTTTTGGATCTTTTAAGTTTTGGTTACCTGAGCGTTCGATGGAGGAACAGAAACCTCTCAGGTTTTGCTGAAAATGACTTAATTTGAAGACTAGCCAAAGTCTTATGGGTTTTGGACCGACATGAAGGCGAGTAAATGATGATAAAATTTTTGGGTGAACTATCCCTTTAAAACTACTTCTTGCAAACAAATTAGCATCGTTACCCCATTGATCGGACGCGGCACCCTCCGACTCCATGAGGTTTTCCGAGCTGTCTGCCGTTCCGATAGACGCTTCCGACTCCAGCATCTCGTCATCGGACGCTCTGGGATCCAAAGCCAGCATCTCATAGGTCAGTTCTTCCCTAAAGTGAAGCGATAACGACAGTAAGACGTCTAGACAATAAATGTGACCCTGGAGCACAAAACCAGTCATAAGGGTCAATTTTTTTAAATTGAGATTTATGCATCATCTGAATAAATAAGCTTTCCATTGATGTATGGTTTGTTAGGATAGGACAATATTTGGCTGAGATACAACTATTTGAAAATCTGGAATCTGAGGGTGCAAAAAAATCTAAATATTGAGAAAATCATCTTTAAAGTTGTTCAAATGAAGTTCTTAGCAATGCATATTACTAATCAAAAATTAAGTTTTGATATATTTACGGTAGGAAATTTACAAAATATCTTAATGGAACATGATCTTTATTTAATATCCTAATGATTTTTGGCATAAAAGAAAAAACAATAATTTTGACCCATACAATGTATTGTTGGCTATTGCTACAAATATACCCCAGCGACTTAACACTGCTTTTGTGCTCCAGGGTCACATATGATAATCATGACACAAAAAGTGTATACTAACTTCTCTTTCTGCAGGTTTTCTATCTGCTGAGTCAAAACGTTCTCCTCCTGCTGCATGGCTGCTTGCTGCTGCTCACTCAGCCCAGGCTCCGCCCCCTCCTCGCCTGGCTCCTCCCTCTCGGCCCGAGGGCTTAAGGGCGGCGAGGGCGTGTGGCGGCCGCTTTTGCGTAAACGCGCCTTACCCTGGAGAAAACAGCAGACATAAGAAACGAGTATTCAGTGAACACATACAAGTTTGGAATAATTAAGATTTTTTTAAATATTAAAAAAAAAAAAGTCTGTTTATGCTGATCAAGGCTGCATTTAGTTGATTACAATACAGTAAAAACATTAATATATTACTACAATATTATTGTTGTATTTTTAATCAAATAAATGCATTAAAAGAAAGAGACCTTTTCAAAAACACAAAAAAAAAAACAATTATTCCAAACGTTTGACCGGTAGTGTATAGAAAACAGGATATGAAGCTCTAGGGTAGCTGTTTTTAAAAACAAATAATAATAATAAATTCAAATGGATGAAATATCAAGTTTTCAGATATTAAAAGATTGAGTTTACAATTCGCAGAAACTAAAGCTTACGTATCTAAGTGGAAAGCATTGAAGGTAATTTGGAATAACTATTTAAATGTAAGGAAATTGTTATTTATATGTAATCATTAAACATTACAATAGTAATAACAATAAACATTACACATGAAACATTATAATAAAATTACAGATTAGGCCTAAATTAAGCCATCAATGTATCATTAACAAAAATAGACATTAATTATACAAAAAAACAAAAAAAACAACAAAAAAAAAAAATTTCTGACGGACTGATATGACATAAAGACTGTTAACCATACATTTGTAAATTCTCTAACACGCATATTTTGGTTACAGTGTTCATTTAAAAGCCTCTGGTGTGTAAAAATAGTAAATACCATTATGTCCTCCTGTTTTTTACAGTAATAAAA